CGGGAGCCCGGCGGGGCTGGGGGCTGCGGGCCCGGCGCTCTCTCTGCTGGAGAAAGCGGCTCCGCGGCCCCTTTCATTCCCCGACACCATCGCCCGCATCACACAGGCCGCCATCGACCGCACTGCGCTAGGGGACCCCGTTCCCCAAGGCGCCCGCAGGTGGGCGGCCGGGGCCGGGCTCGCCAGGGCCAGCCCGGCGGGGCTCCAGCCCGGCCCCCTGCCCCCGCGCTGGAGGCCCCGTAGCGGCTTTCCCGTGTGTAGGGCGGATGGGAAGAGAATTCTGCTTTGAATTCGGACTAACGCTCGGCGGCACGATCCTCAGCTCCGCGGGCGCTCTCCGTGCCTCCGGGCGGCGGGGCGGCGGCCGGGCGAGGGCGGCTCCGGGGCAGGCCCCGCGGGAAGTTCTCCGCGTCCCGCCCCGGCTGCCTGGACGCCGGCCCCGGCCTGCCCAGGCCCCTGGAGCCCAGGCTGCCTCCGGGTCGGCCAGCCTCGTCGACCCCGAGTTGAAAAGAAACCACAACCCCTGCGTTACTTGCCTGGCTTCCGGTGTCCGCGGCGCTCGGTGCAGGGTCCGGGGGCGGTGGGCCTGGACCTCCCGCTCCCCGGCGCCCGCGCTCGCCTCCGCGTCCACTCGCTCCGGCCGCCTCCCGGTTCTGTCTCCTTCCTTCCCTGCCGCCCGCTCCGCCCGCGTCTCTGCGCTGCACGGGGAGGGACCGTTAGGATGCATGCATACAACGCTAGTGCTGGCTCTTTCCTTTTTTCCCCCCCTTTCTTTCTCTTTTTCTTTTTTATTTTTTTTCTGTCGTGTTCATGTCACCTTTGAACTGACCAGCAGACGTGAGCGCGTTTGTGTGGGGAGGGGGACGAGGGCAGGAGCCCCCGCTGGCCGCGGCGCCTCCTCTCCCTCCGCGGCGCACAATGGGCCGCCGCTCGCCGCCGAGGACGCGGGCCCTTCCCGTTCTCTGCGCCGGAGGGGCCGCGGGGCCGGCACAGGAAAGCCTTTATTCTGCTCTTTAAAAACCGTCGCTCCTCGCCAAGCCACCGCCAACTCCCGACTTAAAGGGAGAGGGGGGTGGGGAGCGCCAAGCGCACCCCAAAGCGCAGCGCTTCCCAAACCCCTCCCTGGTGGAATTTAAAGGGAGAACGAGTATTAACACACACACACACACACACACACACACACACACACACACACACACACCCTACCTCTGTCAACACAGCGTGGCCATTTACTCCCACCTTTATCTGAGGCTCGGGGTGCCGGAGCGGAGACAAACTTTCACGCTCCCCGGAGCGGCGGGGCGGGCGGGCGCGGCTCCCACCCGCGGCGGCGGCGGCGGCGGCGGCGGCGGCGGCTTTGTCACGGCGCCGCTCCGCGCCCGCCGGAGCCTGCCTCGGGGAGCGATCCCAAAACGAGGGGGGTGCGAGTGTGCTATTGGAGACTGTGTCACTAAGAGAAGTATCATTTTCCCCTAGTACGGTCTTTCAAGTAAAAAAAAAAAAAAATCCATTGAAAGAATTTTCAAAGTGGTGTCTTCCTTTGGAGAAAAGGCTCGGGCTGCCTGCGGAGAGCGGGGAAGGAGGGCCCGGCTGTGCGCTCCGGGCGCGGCTCCCGTCCGCTAGGTGGCAGCCCGAGCCAGCGATTCCCGCGGCCCGCGCCGCCCCTCCTCCCCCCTCCCGCGACCAATCGCCTTCGGGGATCTCTCTCTCTCTCTCTCTCTCTCTCTCTCTCTCTCTCTCTCTCTCTCTCTCTACTCTCTCTCTCTCTCTCTTCTCTCTCTCTCTCCCTCCCTCCCTCCCTCCCTCTCTCCCCCTTCCCTCCTCCTCCCTCCCTCTTTCTCTCTCCCACTCTCTCCCATCCCCTCTTCCCCTCCCCCCACTCCTCCCATCTTCTCCCCCTGTCTTTCTCTCGCCCCTTTCCTCTTTTTCTGACTCGGTTGCACTAACTCCCCACCCCACCCCCAACAATATGAGGACTTATTATTACTGCTTTCTTAATAGTTATTGAAGCGTTGTTTGGAGTTTGGGACAGCCTGGGGACACCAAAGCAGGGGCGGGGGGGAGAAAGAAAGAAAGAAAGAAGAAAAAAAATCAAATTGATTGGAAAGTTTATTTTTTTTTTAAATCATCTCTGGGATCAATAGGAACCGTTGAATTCTGATTGATTTAGTGGCAATAGCTGCAGATTCCACGAGTGTCCTGTCGTAATTAAACCTTTAAAACCAAGTTATAACTCAGGAGCCAAAAAAAAAAAAAAAAGGAACACAGGAGTCTCTGTCTGCCTCATTTCTTAAAAGGATATAAAATCAACGCAGTCCACACTTGGGTTATGCTTACATGTGAAAGAAGAAAACAATCAAAACCCAGTGTATTTCACGAGTCATTAAAATGGTGAGAGTTAAATTCCCATATAAAAAAAAAATCCTAACATTTTTTGATGGCACTCTTCTTCAAGCTCATGAAACCTAATTTTAAAAACTTTTCATAAGAAATCAACGTTATTTCCTTCTCATTTGCACGTTGCGAGGAAGGCATTCTCCCCCTCGCCATCCCTTCCCCCCTCTGGCTTTCGCATGTGTGTGAGTGTGAGTGTGTGTGTGTGAGTGTGACCATAGACGACCCATACTAATCAGGTCTCAGAGTAAATAGCAGAGCAGGGCGATCTCAATGTAAATTGCGCTTGTCAGAAGCACACCCCCTCCCTCACTTTCTCTCCTCCTCCCCTCCCCATCCCGTCAGTGGGTAGCTGGGGGGGAGGGGGGGGAGGGAGCGAAAGAGGAGGGGGGGAGGGACTCTCCAACCAATGGCGTGCAGGAGGCATGGCTAACCTTAGCCTCCCATTTTCTCCTCCCTCTCCCCCCCTCCCATTCAGGGCTCTGACCAGTCAGTCTCCTTTGATTATCAGTTGCCAGCAGCCCTTCTCCTGGCTCCTTGACACGAGCTCCATATAAGGCAGCGATCTCCATAGAAACGTGTCAGTTTCAATAGTAGTGTCAAAGTTCACTATATACAGACATTCGCGCAGATCCCCCTTTCGGAAACATTGCTCTGCGAGTCCTCCCGATTAAACGCATTCAATTTTGGGATCGCTCTTTCTCTCTCTCTCTCTCTCTCTCTCTCTCTCTCTCTCTCTCTCTCTCTCTCTCTCTCTCTCCCCTCCTCCTCCTCCTCCTCCTTCTCCTCCTCCTCCTCCTTCTCCTCCTCTTCTGCCTCTCTCTTTCTCAGTCTCTCAATCTCTCTCTCTTCTTTCCCTCGCTCTCTTCTCTCCTTTTTCTCTTTTCTTACATATCCTCTTAGTTGTTTCCCCCGTATTCTTCTCTCTCTCTCCTTTTTCTCCCTCCTTCTTGTCTTTTTTACTCCATTCCTGTAGAAGAGGGCTAAACTTAAAAAAAAAAAAAAAAAAAGGAGGAGGAGGAGGAGGAGGAGGAGACACCCCCTTCGTATTCTTCTTATCGTTATTTTATACATATATGATTTTTCTTGGAGGGAGGGTACTGGTTCCCGGCTGAAGAGCACTTATTTAAAATACTAAAAAAAGAACATTTTTGGGCGATCTCCAGGGTTTTTTTAACTAGCTCTGTGTGTTATAGCAGAAGAAGCAGAAGAAGGAGCAAGAAAGAGGAAAAGAAGAGGATTATTTATTCGACCTACTTTGGATATCTCTCTCGCTTTTTTTTTTCCAATTCATTTTTTCTTTTGAATTTTGTTTTTTCCATCTCGCTGTGAATTCGTCGCCGGCGGCGTGAATTATCTCCTATTTTCCTTCCTTTCCACCACCTCCCCAAAGAAGAAGGAGGCAGCGAGCGCCCGGCGCCACCGGCACAACAAAAAGAGCAAAGTGTGTGTGATCCTCCTCGCCCGCCGCCTCCCGCTCTCCGGCTCTGCCTTCCTGAATGGCTGGCAGCGTCCGGCCCTGGACCTGGCCCCCCGACTCCAGCGCGCCCTGATCGCCGCCGGCAGCCTCGCCCCGCGCCCCGCGCGGCTCCCCGAGCTCCCCTGCTCCGCCAGCCCAGCCAGGGCGCCTGCCGCCGGGACAGCGGCGGCGGCGGTGGCGGCGCGGGCGGCCCCCGACCCGGGCTCGCGCTCCGGCCGCGGCCCCGACTCCGGCTCGGACTCCCGCCCGGGCCCGGCTCCGCCGGCGGCGCGCGGCGCTGCAGCTGCTGAGGCGGCGGCTCCAGCGGCGCCCGCAGCCCCGACCTCCGTCTCGGTCTCCTCCTTCGCCGCCGCCGCCGCCGCCCGCGCGGTCCTCCTCGGGGTCGGCTCAGCCCGCGCTCCGCTCGCAGCCCGGGCGGCCGGCGGGCGGGCAGGCGCCTGGCGCGGGTGAGCGAGTGTGTGTGCGAGTGTGTGTGTGCGAGTGTGTGTGTCTGTGCGATTGTGTGTGTGAGTGTGTGAGTGTGTGTGTGCGCGCGGGGGTGCGGGCGAGGCGGAGGGCGAGTGTGTGCGCGCGCCGTGGCCCATGCCCGCCGCCCCCGGCGCTGCGCCCCGCGCCGCTCCCGGCTGCCGCCTGTGCCATTTCTGATTTTGCAACTTGGGGAAGAAGAAAAAAGCCTGAGAGAAGGGAGCTCGCTCTCCGGGGGGGTGGGGAGGGGGGGAAGGAGAGCGCGGCCCCCCCAGGATCGGAGCGCGGGGGGGAGCGGGCGAGGGGAGCAGGGGTGTTGCGGGGGGGGGGATCCTGAGAGCCTGGGGGGGCTGCAAAAAGAGAGAAAGAAAACAGCAGGAACCACAACAAAACGCCAGCAGGGCGGGCGGGCGCGCAGCGGCGGCGGCGGCGGCGGGGCGGCCGAGGCGGTAGCGGCGGCGGCGGCGGCGGCGGCAGAGGCAGAGGCAGCGGCCGGTGCGCGGCTCGGGCTCGGCTCCCGCGACCCCGGGGCGCCCGGCGGGCCCCCCACCCCCTCCCCCTCCCCCCTTCCCCTTCCCCTTTCCCTCCCGGCGCGCCCGCGCGCCCCGCGGCCCTCGGCGAGCAGCTCGGCTCCCCCCCAGCGCTCCCCGGGCCCAAAGATATGGCAATGGTAGTTAGCAGCTGGCGAGATCCGCAGGACGACGTGGCCGGGGGCAACCCCAGCGGCCCCAACCCCGCAGCGCAGGCGGCCCGCGGCGGCGGCGGCGCCGGGGAGCAGCAGCAGGCGGGCTCGGGCGCGCCGCACACCCCGCAGACCCCGGGCCAGCCCGGCGCGCCCGCCACCCCTGGCGCCGCGGGGGACAAGGGCCAGGGCCCGCCCGGCTCCGGCCAGAGCCAGCAGCACATCGAGTGCGTGGTGTGCGGGGACAAGTCGAGCGGCAAGCACTATGGCCAATTCACCTGCGAGGGCTGCAAAAGTTTCTTCAAGAGGAGCGTCCGCAGGAACTTAACTTACACATGCCGTGCCAACAGGAACTGTCCCATCGACCAGCACCACCGCAACCAGTGCCAATACTGCCGCCTCAAGAAGTGCCTCAAAGTGGGCATGAGGCGGGAAGGTGAATATTTCTTCTTCTCTGCTCCTCTCCCTGAGCTTTGCCCGCCTCTCCGGCCCTCTTTCTTTCTCTCTCTCTCTCCCTCTCACAGAGGTGGCTGCTGGATGGGGCTGGGGCTCCCGCAGTCCTGGCCCGTCCCAGCTTCCCCTGTCCCCGCTGCTGCCTTCCTCCCCTGGCGCCCCCCCCCCTCCCCAGCTCTTTGCCGCTGCCTCCCCCTCCCGGCCTGCGCTCGTCTCCCAGCTCCTCCATCCCTCTCGCTGCCTGCTCCGGATTGTGTCCCAGGGATCGTGAGCTGTGGCTGAAACACCCCCTTCTTCCTCTGTCTTGGATGTGCTCGATGTGTGTCTCTTTCCCGCGTGTGCGTGAGGATGCTTGGGGCTGTGCTGGCATGAACTTAGGGAGGGGTGCTCACGTCCCACCCCCAGAAAAGTCTTGTTTCTGTGTTTTTGCATCTCACTTTCCCCTCCACCTCTTCCTTCTCTTTATTTGAAATGGGGGAGGGCTGGGGACTGGAGTACCCTGCGTAGATTCATTGCTGCATCATCCTTGTGGAAGCTTAGCATGGAAAAAGAGGAGTGAGATTTATTGCACTTGTAGGTCTAATTAGGGGAAGGGGGGGGGGGGCTTCTGGCCTGTTCACTGGTTCCCTCTCCTCTTCACGGAGCTGGGGCCGCCTCCTCCGGAGCCGTGGCCTTGTTTTCACCCCTCTACTTTGAAAGGAAAGTTTGTGACTGAGCCTTGCTTTCATAGTTGTGTCATTTTTTAAAAAGCATGATACTCATTTTATTTCTTCATCAAACTCCACCCTCTGCTTAAATACTGCATACAAATTACAATTTACAACGGCATTTACCGAACCTTCTGATTTGGCTATAAGGCACAGAGAGACTGCAGCTGGCATGAGCTTCCACATCATTTAATCCCTGTGTTGTGTGGCTTTGGTTTCTTTTAACGCAACTTTTGATGTTGTATTTAGATATGCTTCATGTTCATGTGGCAAGAGATGCAGCACTTTTCTTATAAATATATTTAGCCACTTACAGTTAAAGTTTATCTCCTGACAATCATTAAAGATGTCTTATAGTCGAATGAGCGAACCAGTCAATTTTGCAGAATGCAGATTACTCCTTCTTGTAATTGACTTTAAAATTATATTTTATATGCCACAGGAAAAGAAATTGAATTCCTTCAGATCTCAAAGAGCAGGCAAATATGACGACTTCATTTCTAGCTCCAGGAAGATTTTTGTAGGCATCTGGGGGGTGGAGGTGGGAGAGAAAAAAAACCAACAACTTTGAATTGTGCTCTCATTTAATTGAAAAATAACTGCCAAGTTCAAAACTATAATTAGGAGGAAAAAGTATTCTAGCCATTATGTTTCAAGAGCTGAGATTGCATTGGGACTTGCATTACAAATGGAATCAAAGCAAACTTAAGAAAACAGTGCACAACCTGAAATAAGACAGCTACATGTACATGGACATATCTACATTAATTTGTTGGGGGGGGGGAGAGTTCAGTAGCCCTAACTTTTCCTAGAGTTGTCTTTGTTTACATGGCAATTTAAAACGCTGGCACTGTTGAAGTAAAACATACACATTAAAAAAAAAAAAAAACTTTGGTCAGCTTTAAGAACTCAAAGCATGCTTACGTTTTGCATTCAGATGGTTAATGAATCCAGTGTTTTTGCAGTTGCAAGCTCGTGCATTCACTGGGCAAACGCTGGCTGCAGGTTGCAGTGGCACCACGCAGGACAGACATTAATTATTGTTCCTACTTTTCCCCATAATGTTTGGCTACTGTAAGTTCAACTTTTTCTTGAAATTTTTTCAATTTTCTGTTGCTTTTAACAGCGAGAACTTGGTGTGGGGCGATGGGGTGGAGAGGAGAGGGGAGGGAAGAAGGATACTTGTTTTCTATTGAAAAGTTGTACGTGATTAGTAGCATATGTAACTTGTATCTATTTTAAGGGTAATTCATGGCATTTTTAGAGACTATGGAAGCATTTTTTTTTTTTAGCAGAATGTTGCTTGCTTGCAAATGAAG